GTCTTTCTTGTGATATTGAACTACATTTTCAACATTACATTGACATAGAATGTATACATCGGTTGGTCTTTCTTGTGATATTGAACTACATTTTCAACATTACATTGACATAGAATGTATACATCAGTTGGTTGGTCTTTCTTGTGATAATGAACTACATTTTCGTTATGTGGATTATGTTGATAACACTACTCCTGTATGCAACATAGTAATGTTGGTATTTAGTAGGATGTCAAATATACATGTACTTATGTAAAGGTTGCTGCTATGTTGTTAGGAAAATCGGAGTGGAAGTACTGTGTAACGGGAATGGCCAAAAGATTCTATTCTGGATTAATTTGAATGTAATGTTTTTATGAAACATTTTATCAGGGAAGTTGTATCTTATTATTTTAGTAAATAAAAAGTACTGTGAAAAATAAGTTTTCAAGTTTGCTTTTAGCACAGAAGCTATACCTTTTCTGTGTGAAAAACACTTGACTAAACTTCATATAAAAATAAATCAGATTTCATTTCTGTGAAAGGATGAAATACTTGGTCTGAAAGTTGAATACTAACTATTCTTTATGTTGCCAAAAAATCTTGTATTTCTGTACAAAAGCTATTCTTAGAAGAAGAAAAAAGAAACTTGGTTAACCCAAGTATTGTAAAAACACATTTTGAAGTGGTATATAGATATTTTTTGTATTTAAGATTTGAGAAAGGGATAAGGGATGGACTGTTTATAAATTTATCATTTGCTGTTCTTGAAGTCAGCCAACAATTGTAATTTAAAATAATTTTGATATTCTGTTCATTTGTAGATTAACATTGCATTACACAGCCATTTTTCCATAAATCTAGCTTATTAATTCTGTATTAAAAAAAAGTGCTTTTATTTTATTTTATAAATACTGGAATTCAGTAATCATACTTTTAACAGTAGCAGTTAATACACAAGTAAGATCATGAACAGATCCAAGCATAATTTAATGGTATATCTTTTCAAAGTGTATCTGCTAATAATTTTTTATGTATTTAAAGATATACTTAGCTGCTTATAAAGGTGGTGATATTTTTATATTGTTAACTTAAATGTTACTATGAATGCCTTCTTATGGTCACTTTTAAGATATAAAAGTTTTCCTTAAATTACTTTTTACTAGACTGTTTTTAGTTGGTTCTTTGTGATTAGGTGTTTTAGTTATTAGATATATATTGCAAAATTCTTTTTAATCCCTTGATACATGGGTATTATCTTTGTTCCTTGCTGCATGTGTACGTAAAAATGTTTTAATACATTTTTGTAGAAATCTATAGAGCCTGCCTTGTCATTTTACTGTTAGCTTAGAATCATGCTTTTATTATCAATGTTATCCTAATAAAGATTGTATATATTACTTATGAATATAGTGGGATTTGAGCTTAAGACCTTAGGAATAAAGGGACAGGGTTTATGTCCAACACACTTAACTATGTATCACCCTATCTGAGTTACATTGTTATTTAATACATGCCCCAATTTAACTTGTTTGTTATCATTTGCCGAAGTTTACATGTTACAGTATAAATCAGATTGGATATTACTTGTATGTTATTTATTGTCAGTGAATGATAAAAGAATGAACTAAAACAACCTTTGTTATAGTAGACTGATTTTTGTATGAATCTTTCATTGAGATGACAACTTTTTAAAGAACTTACCATGGGGATCAAAACCTCATTTCAACAAAACTTTAGGCTGAAGTTGAACTCAACATTAGGTTCAAAACGTTGTCATCTGAATGAAAATTTAGGTTTGATTTTTAATTGTTAATGAAAATTTGTTTTTTGTTGCAGGACTTTGCACTTGATCCAGAAGAAGCTCGAATGCGCACAGCAGCCCATCACATGGTCCGTAGCTTGACAGCTGGTATGGTAATGATAACTTGTCGAGAACCACTTAATATGTCCATTACTACCAATCTTAAGGCCTCATTTCTTTCAGCACTTAGAGTAAGTTCATTTTTTCTTTGTGTTTTATTATTAAATTTCCTTCTGTTCTACTGAAGTTAGTAAATACAAAAAAGAAAAGATTTAGGTTAAACTTTCTATTTGCAACTATTATTACATATAAAAAATATTTTATAAGAATATATTTCCTTAAAAATAATATAAGCCAAAACTACAGACTGTATTTTTTTTATAGTTTGCCTGTAAATATTGTGTATATATCACATACTAAGAAGAGTAAAATACACCTACTATTACATACTTGTTTGAGAAATGTGTTAGTTTAGAGAAGAGCGGCTTGTTAGTTTGAAGAACAAACATGTTTTTATTGGGATGAAAATTCTCTCTCATTTCCTTTTTTCATGCAAGAAAGTGTAATAGTTCACTGAAAAATCTTATCTATTTAATGGGTGAAATAAGTTTGTTTTATATCCTGGAAATCTTGAACGCACCATGAAGTATTAACTTCCTTTTTTAGAATAGAAAGGTTTTTTTTAGTGAAAGTCTCTTTTCAAAAACGTGTATTATTATAGAAGGTAACTAAATTTTGGGTAGTAGTGAAAATGATGATGTTTTGACAGGGAGCAACACAGCAGCAGAAGGAGCTTGTAGAACAGGCTGCCACTGTTGTAGCTCAGGAGAACATTGAACTGGCCTGCTGTTTTATACAGAAAACTGCTGTGGAGAAAGCCGTTCTAGAGATAGACAAAAAATTGGCTTCTGTAAGTTTTGATATTTGAATCACATTTTTTAAGACACTGGAAGTACTCATTCTCTTGTTTTGTTTGACAAAAGGCACTTAATATTTTTATCAGTGGAAAAAAACAATTTAGTGAAATGAAAATATATATGTTTTTTACAATATTACTAACTCTGCTTGCAATTTTTACTTGCATCTTCTCATACCCTATCTAGGAAACATATTCTTTATTAAAAGTACTTGTCTGAAACAAAATGTAGTCTTTTAGAATTGTACTAGAAGCTGGGAGATTTCTGTTTTGTACCTGGAAGCTTATTGATATGTTAATGATAGGAACTGTATTAATTATTTTTAAGCTAGTAAATATTGTAGTCAGTTTTTTGTCATCTGATACATTAGAATGTTAAGTGATGAAAAAAAAAGGTATTCTTTTTAATGTTCAAGAATACTAACTTTCCACAATTTGTTGAACTTTTTTCTATCTAAAATATATTTAGTATACCAATTTTTGTGTCTGTCATGTCTATCACAGGAGTATGATCGACGCAAGCATGCTAGAGCAGAAGAGCGTCGTTATTGTGATCCAGTGGTCCTGACATACCAAGCTGAAAGAATGCCTGAACAAATCAGGTTAAAGGTATATAAAACCTTTTTTTTATATATATGTAATTGAAATTTGGAAGTGAAGGAGAATTAATAGCATCAAAGCAAAGTTAACAAATTGTTTAAAACTTTTTTTATCACTTTATCACTTCATCTAGTTAATTCAATACCTTGATACCCACTGTTCTTGGGTTTCTTTTTTGTGAGTGTAAAACACTTAAGTATACCAGTTCGATCACTTGTGTTGTTTTCAGCTATTTTTTGAAATGTATAATATTTACTATAACATATTGTACCTTTATATAATTCAGTAAAACAAAACACTGCCAAGCTGCAACCTATAACCCTTAAAGTATTACATTTTCATGCTACCAAGTTAATGTGTTAGAGCTCTTATGAGGTATCATGCTCTTGAATAATGTGCATGCATTTTGAAGAAGTAGTGAGAGTTGAGAGTAAATATAAACCTCTTGTCATTTTGTAAAAAAAATAACTAAGCTGCTAAAACAAAGCATTATTTCTTAGTTACTAATGTTTTTTTAGTATTCAAAAGTGTATTTTTGTTGGTGATAAGAAATGAATGTCTTGTCCAGATTACTGACATTGGATATTTTGCATAATTTATAAACTTGAAGACATTTTCACACTATATTTAGTGAGATTGTAAGATATTTGTAGAACAAAATCTATATTTATCTTCTCTTATTACCCTAAAAGTAGTCCTAGTGTTGAGAGGAATGAAATTTCTCTTATCCATTTTCTTTGTATTAGATATTTTGTATAATTTTTAAACTTAAAGTAGAAAGTCATGTTGAATGAGTAATTGAAAGTTATTCTAAAAAACAAACAACTACCTATATTAATCTAATTCTGTCTCCTTAAAAGTAGGGTTAAGAACTTGATGCATCAGATTGGAGGTTAAATGGGTCTTTAAGTTTTTATGATGTATGGAATTTGGTTATGAATGTCCTGTGAGTGAAGCATAGGTTTGAGATAAACTTTGTATTCAAACAGTAAAGTTCAGCATCATTAAAAGAAAAATTGTTGTTTTTTATATGTTAGAAATACACATCTGAATAGTTGTTCATGCTGTGTATATTGTAGGTGATGATTGTGTTAGTTGTTTACATTATTGTACATTTATTGAAGGTGGGAGGAGCCACGTATTCACAATGGATGTTCATACTGTGTAGTTTGTAGATGGTAAAAGCATTACACACATCTTTTGGTTGTATATAATTGTAGGTGGGGGGAGTCACCCTTCCACAGATGGCTGTTTATGAAGAGTTTGCTCGTAATATTCCTGGTTTCCTTCCCAGTCATGAAAGGGACTCGGTATCAAACTATATTTCCAAACCTCTCCAGGTATGTAATTTATACTTTTAGATAAAATTAGAGATCTAAGGCAAAATGTGGTACATCTTAAAATTACAAACACTGAACCAGAAACATGGATCATGTTTAATATGCATGGAGTAAAGGGTGATCAAGTCACTCCAAGTGCAACTCAGTATTAAAAATTTAGAAATTAGAATCCTAATTCCATTTCAACAAGTTCTTCCATAAAAGTTTTGTAGAAATGATAATTTAGCATTATATAAAGCTTATATAGTTTATTTCAGAAGTCAAAATTTAAAAAATGTTCAACCTTTAATTTATATGTCTATATAGGTGTCTGAACTGTAAACGGCACTTTCTAAATGTTTAAGTTTTTGATGTAAGCTTATGTTTATTTCTTCCGATCAATTTTCAATATTGTGTGTAGGCTTGATTATTTTATGTTTCTGTGTTTTCACCTTATGTATATATGACTTGAATTCACATTGATTATACTGCCCATAGAATTTTTGAGAACTTTGAGTGGTTTTTAACTTTGAAAAGGGAATATAGCCTTAAGCTAACAACTTTAGAAAAGAGATTGTGAGTTTTACTGCTCTGTAGTCAAGAGTACAATTCTGTCACGTAGACATCAGTTGTGAGTTTTAATGATATAAAGTTAGCATGTTCAGTGTTAACAAACCTGAATACAAAATTTCTAAATAATTCATCATCCTAATAGGGCTGGTGTTTTATAGTTTATGATGATGTTCGTTTCAAAAATGATGTTGTTTTTTTTGTTATATTTTGTATGTTGGAAAGATATAGGAATATTTTACCATGCAAAAGGCATCAAGTAAGGATGTTTAGGTTTAGTTATACTTTAACTTAGGCCTACGACAGCAGATAGTTCAGATGATAGAAATCTTTTATTATTATTGAGTGTGTTGTTTCATGTATTCTGACATCAGCTTCTTATTTACAGAAAAGAAACTATAACTATTAGACATAAACTGATCCCAGCCAAAAATATTTTTTAAAAATGTACTACAGCACCTAACAGAACTACCAGTAATGCCATTTTTAAAGATCACTTTCTTAGTCTTTTGATATTTGTTGGCTGATTGAGTTGGGAAAATAAAAGTATCAAAATAAATATTTTAATGAATATCAAAACAAAATCGATTGGATACATAAAAAAAACTACTAAGATAAAAAATGGTTATTTTTATTGTTTTCAAAACAGTTTCACAATAAAATTTTCTCAATTTTTTACTCAGATGTTTGTATTAAGTTTTGTGCAATTTGGTTATTAGGGTTTTCACTGTAAGATTATAATACTGATGGGTTCTTCTGTTACCCACCCTGGTCCTTAAAAATGTAAGAGCTCAACAAACTAAACTAACAATTTATTTTCAGTCTTATGCTTACATTTCTGGAGGTTACTAGTACTTAATGAATAACTAAAGTGATTGTTTTAACATTGTAAATTGGTTGTGAGAAAAGTTGTAATTATGCAGGTAACATCTACTTATAAATAAAATAGGAATATTTCTGTAAGATTTACAAACACTAACTAATTTTTACATCAGCATGGTGTAGAAACTTTAGCTCTTGTCATTCTTTTGTGTGTTTTATGAATGTTTTGTTGTAACTTGAAAACTAATGTTGTCTGTTGTGAAAGAAGTTAAGACATAACACATAACAGTATACTGAAGATGTGTCTGACCTGTGATTATTGTTTTCTTGAAAACCAAATTTATCTAATGAACACTTGTTCAAAATTTATGCAATTAAAAATGTTAGTCATAGGCAGTGAAGTGTTATTCTTAAACAAATAAAATATTTAACAAATATAAGATAGATACAAACCTCTTCAAACCCGTTACCCCAAAAGAACAAACTTATATTATAAGTAGTAATGGTTGCTTGATATTTTACTTCTCCTACTAAATGTCGGGAATTTCTGATTTTTCTTCTAAAAAATAGGTTAGCCAGTCTTTTTCTACTGATGATATTACACAGATCTATGACAAGGTAATAGCAGAGCTTGACCGCTACATTCAGAGCCTGATGGCTATTCCAGCAAGCCCACAAGCTGCAGCACTTCACAGTCTGAGAGAAGGAGTGTTTCTTGTACGAACATCAAGAGAGATTGTTACAGCTCTTACTCTTGTCCAGAAGGTAGTCTACTGTTATAATTTTGTTTATACTTGCATAGGATTTTTTAAAACATTTTATACAGTATGAAAGAAAATGTGTTATGTATATTGTGAAAAATTTGGACTCATGTTAAAATGTTCATGAAACTCATAGCCCTAAAAGCTCTTCATAATGGACATCCTGTCAAAAGGAAATCAGCTAAGCAATTCAAATGTTAAATGTTCACTATGTAGTTGTAAATAAATTTAGTGCTTTAAACTTTTTGTTAAGTTATGAAAAAATAAAATTTATTACCTCATCACACAAGGTTTTTATGACTCTCTAGACAGTGGAAAGTCTTCTAGAAGGGATGACACAGCACTCACCTGATCCTGAAGTTGCTATTCGTTATCGTGATGGCCATCTACTTGTACTGAAAGCTCTAGCTGATCCCAGGGCATTCGGTACCCAATGGACAGTTAAACATGTTACTCGAGCTCTAATTGAATGTCGTGATGATTATCGGTATAACCTGGAAGGTGTGGATTGTCTTATTCGCAGCCATTTGGTCAACATGCCTTCTTATGATCTGCATCTTACCCAGGTATGCTGTCGTTAAGGAAAGAGCATGATGTTGTTTTATTTAATTGAGTTAAAAATAAGAACATTATTTGAAAAAGTGACTCCTTTTTATTAGAATGGAATAAATGAAAAATCTTGTTGTGAGTGATATACAAGTTTTTTTTTTTATTTATTTAAAAAGTATGTACTACAAGTTCAAGGTTAATTTATGTAATAATAACCCATAGTATATGGTAGTACATTTAATGACTAACCAGAGATTTAAGTTTCATCTCAAACTCTACAGTGATCCACACACAGAAAGGCCTGGCATATGCTCTAAATCAGTCTTTATAAACACTTAAATTTACTCCCGGTAACTACTTAATACCTAAAATATACTAGTTATGTTGAGAGTAAGAACATTATTTTAACAACTGGTTAATTTTTGCAAGAATATCATTAATGAAAAATTTTGATGTTTGGTAATATGTATTTATTTTTTGATTTACAAAAACATACCAAGTTTAGTATTAATTTTTCTCGTAATAAACCATACTATGTGTAGCACCTATAATGACTGACTAAAGATTTAAATTTAGTCAAACTATACAGTGATACATAGGCCTGGCAGGGCCTAGTGGTTAGTGTGTTGAAGCTGTGAATCCAAGAGCTTTAAATAATTCATGGCCTATTGCTTGCAATACAAGCACTGCACTTTGGGACCATTGGTGCATTATAGAAAATTAGAATATTTTGGGAAAGTTAAATGAATTAGTGAAGAAAATATAATAAAAGTACTAAAGTCACTAATTTCAGAATAATATCAATTTTACTCTTAAATGACTTATTTAAAAATGCATCTGGAAAAAGTACTTAAGTATAACCATTGTTATTGTTGTTACTTGGGGGTAATTTATAGTATTTTAACTTTTACAGCCACAAATACTTTTAACCACAAGTGTACCCAGCTGATACAATAATGCATTTAAGTTGCTATAAGTAGTGTGGTTTTAACATTATAATTAAGTAGTGTGGTTTTAACATTATAATTAAGTAGTGTGGTTTTAACATTATAATTAAGTAGTGTGGTTTTAACATTATAATTAAGTAGTGTGGTTTTAACATTATAATTAAGTAGTTGTGCTCATTACTAGTTATATGTTTTTAGTTCTCCTCTGTGTAAGTAGGTTGTTGTGATCAGAAGATAGTATTGGTAAAAGTACTACTCTGTAAAAGTAGCTTTTAACTTACTTTTTTTGCATTATTTTACAGCTTATGGAAGGTGGATTGAATTATCTTGCCGTAGCTTTTGCCATGCAGCTAGTAAAGCTTTATATTGTGGATAAACGTCATGATGGCTTCTTTTCAGAGGTAAGTTCGGTTTTAAAATACACTTAAGACAATACTGGCTTGACATAAACAAAGAAAAGTGCTATTATTATAATTAAGCTACCAGTTGACACACTAATATTCTCCATAGTTCAATCTCAAATTGTGTGTGATCTAATGATTTTTAGTTTTAATACATAGAACATTTTGTAGTTCCTTTGAATTAATTATGGTCATACAGTAATGTTAAAATCAGGTTCTTGTGAAGAACATGTATTATCTTTATCATACTGAACCCTAGTCTAAAAGTACACCAAACACATTGTGGTTGTTCAAGATGAGTTTTGATACAAAATCACTGTTTATGAGTTTCACGTAAAAATCTGCTGTTGACATTCAAGTAGTGCAGTGAGAAAGAAGTTTTGAGATTTTAATAAATAGTTCTTTTGATATGATTAATTATGTCAAATTATTAAAAGCAACCTATTTGGTCATGTTATAGGGTGATCTTTACCATACAGTGGAAATACTTGCTCGAATTGCTACTCACTCCAGACAGCCACCAGAAGGGTGAGTATTTGATAGTTGATGTAAGGAAGGTTACTTTAGTAAGTACTTGATGGTTGGTGTGTGGAAGGTTACTTTAGTAAGTTCTTGATGCTTGATGTTCTGTAGATTGATAAGCATTTTTTCCCCTTTTGCTTTACAGTTTGTCACAGTTAATTGACATGGTTCAGTGTGCATCACAGGAATCTGGATTTTTAGATCGTGCACCAGGAGGACCCATGTCTATGATGCACTCTGGAATCTCCCAAGCTCGTGAATACGATGACCCTCCAGGGCTTCATGAAAAAACAGAATACCTCTTGCGTGAGTGGGTGAACATGTATCATAATGCAAGTGCTGGGAGGGACAGTACCAAAGCCTTCACTATGTTTGTTCATCAGGTATGAACATAATAGTATTGACTACATTTAGTGTATAAATGTAAAATTAATTAGGTACTTATTTTCAAGTATTAATGCTTCACTTTTATTTTTCAACTTCTGTTTTACATGTGTTTAAAACATTTTCTGTATTTTTCACTGTGCTGTTTATTTTCTTAGTTCAACATGCTACTTTCTTGTAAAGACGTTCTTTTTGTTTTGTTAAACACGTTAATTGTTGTTGTTTTTTCTTCTCTGGAATAAGAAATAATATTTAAAATTGAACCTTATTTTGTATAAAATGATACAGCTGTTTTATAAATTCATTATCCTGTTGTTACTTTGTTTACAGATGAATGTACAGGGAATATTAAAGACTGACGATTTGATTACTAGATTCTTCAGACTTAGTACTGAAATGTGCACAGAGCTCTGCTACAGAGCCTTCTCAGACCAATCTAATCCTTCCCCATCTTTAGTGCGAGCCAAATGTTTTCATACTTTAGATGCCTATGTAAGGTTGATCACGTTGCTGGTGAAACACAGTGGTGATGCCAACAATAGTCTCACAAAGATTAACTTACTCCACAAGGTAAGAAAACCAAGCTATTGAAATGCTTCATTAACTTTATGCAGGAGGTGCAAGGTGTTACATATATAAGAGCTCTAACAGCTTGCTTGTGAAGCCAGTTTTTATGGTACTAATAAATAAAATATAAAAACAAAATCCTGAATTTGTGTATTATCTCTTCAGCACATATTTTAAATATAAAGTTTAGTTTCATGAGCTTGTTTTACATATTGTTATTTTCAATTATGTAGTCGTGTGAAGGCTAAGTTTGTGAATTAAAAATATTTTCATGTGCTATCAATGTTGTGCACATTACTGAAAAATTAAATCATCACTCATTTCTTCAGAGAAGAGTAATATGATGTCCTTACACATATCAGTTAATAAAAAAATCATGTTATACTACTCATTACATTTCTTTCTTTCTCTTGTCCTGAGAAACAGTTGTGACTATTCCTAAAAATGAAACTAAAACCTCAATGCTGATAAAGTGTGTATGAAAGCCATTTTTTAAACTAATTTCTGAAATTGGTCTTAGCAGTTACTCAAAGGAAATGATATTTGACACATTATTTTAGATTTATTCTTAGTATTTACAAACTGAAATTTCTTAGGCATCAAAAAAAGAAAAGAACAGTAATGTAGTTATGAAACATAGAGAAAATAATGGGACAATCTTGTTTCTTTTTGTTTTGCAGAAAGTAACTAATATTTTTACTGCTATTAAAATTATAATGTGTTATAATAATACCTTGTTATTGACGAAAATAATAGCATTACAGTAACAAGTTACTTAAATAATGTGTTACCCCAAACTCTGCTCATTACATGCTTCAGTGAAATTGTTACACTTTATTCCAATGGTTCCCAACCTTTTTCCAGCTGAGGACTGGCTGGTTTCAATCATAAAATATTAGACTGCTTTGTACAATACTAACTTTTTAAATTATTTAAAACAACATACTTCAGTAGCTATATTCCAAAACAGTTGTCTTGTGAACTTGCTAAAGTCTATCTGTGGACACTGCTATGAAACTGTGGTTGAAACTGATGTTTTATTTAGTTGAGATACATTTTGGTATTGTTATCCCACTTTTCAAGAACATTTCAGTTGTGTGTAATATAGATGTGTGGAGTAAAGTCATGGATGCTATGTTTCTTTGTGTACAAACATGGTTATCTTGGGTTGGAGTCATTGTATGTTGTTAAAATTATTAGTGTGCATAGTATTGAAATAAAAAGACTACTTTATAAATCATTATGTCAATAAAATGTGAGTAGTTTTACATTATTTGTTCTTGACTATTTTCGAGTTACTGAGGTTCAGTCTTTCTCTAATATGAGCAGGTCCTTGGTATTGTTGCTGGTGTACTGCTTCGAGATCACGACTTTCGGAGCACAGAATTCCAACAGTTACCCTATCATCGAATCTTCATTATGCTTTTCCTTGAACTCAGTGCCCCAGAACAAGTCTTGGAGTCTATCAGTGTTCAGGTTCTAAATGCATTCTGGTATGTCATTGGCAAGATATGGCAGAAGGTGTAAAAGTGAAATTTTTTTGTATGGTTTACAAAAATTGTGCTGTTTAGTATTGAAAAGAAATTACTGTTGTTTAAAGTCTTGTAATATTTTTTTGTAAAGTAAAACCTACTTAGTAACTGTTGTTTCAAGGGATACAAAGTGTTCTGGTGAGGTAGTAAAATATGTACAGTTATTGAATGTTTTAGAATAACTTGTGCAGCTAGAAGTACTGCTGAAGAACCTAAAGTGCTTCTGTATAAAGTTTAACTTTTGAGAAGATTTCTTTGTAAACTTTTCATTTTAAATGGTGGGGAATTTTGTTTTATGTTTTCATTATTACTGTTACTCAAAAAAAAAAGTTAATTTTTTAAAATTAATACATTGGTAGTATATGCTAGCTTCAGTTTTGGGAGAAAGACAAAATTACAATACATAGGTGTGTATGTGCTTAACAAGTGTTACTAGAAAGAGAAGCAAATCAAATATGCATTTTTGGTATATTTTTTAACCTTTATATAAATATTTGGCATAGAATAATATTTTGTTATTGGAATATTACTCTTTCAAAAAATGAAGTGTTTGAATTTTTGTGTGTGAATGTTGTAACTCTCTCTCCCCCTCTCAGCAATACTCTTCACATCCTACAACCTTCCAAAGCTCCTGGGTTTGCCTATGCCTGGCTTGAATTAGTATCACATCGAGTGTTCTTAGGGAAGATGTTGGTACTCACTCCACAGCAGAGAGTAAGTTTTTAGACTAGACACTTGATGTTTACAGTTAAGCAGTTCTCTAGAGTTAATCTGATATAATCAAAAACATCTTAGGAGTGAAGAAAAGGTGTGGTCCATGACTGTATTGGTTATAGTGACCCTAATAACTTATGAAGCACACAAAAGATTTAAACAAAAAGTACTATCAATATTATATTTTATTTTAATAATTACTACTGCTTTAAAATACAGATTACTCAAGATGATGAGATGTGTGTGTTTGAAAAAATTTAACTTGTAATTATCAAAGAATTAGTATAAAACTGAGAATCAAGTGAAATAATTTTTTTTTTTTCAGGCTTGGGGCATGTATGCTCAGCTGCTGATTGACATGTTCAAGTTTTTAGCACCTTTTTTAAGAAATGTGGAGCTTCCCAAACAGATTCAACTTTTATACAAGGCAAGATTAAGAAATATATATATATTTATCTGTATTAAGTAATATTTAGTCTTTTGAGAAACACAACTATATGAGATTTAAGCATTAGTAGCTTCTGAATTTCCCTATTAAATTTACACATGTGTCTGATAAATATCTAATTTTATCACCAGTACTTCTTACAATTATTTATTTGATACAGTAGATGTTCTTTTCATTTATCATTAACTTTTAGGGAATAGTGTTTGTGTTGGTGGTATTACATCATCTTTACACTTTTACAGCATTATGTGTTTTCTTAACTTGTAGGGAACACTCCGTGTTTTGCTGGTGTTACTTCATGACTTTCCTGAATTTCTCTGTGATTACCATTATGGATTTTGTGATGTCATTCCACCAAATTGTATCCAAATGAGGAATCTTATTCTCAGTGCATTTCCCCGTCACATGAGATTGCCAGATCCCTTCACTCCCAACCTTAAAGTTGACTTGCTACCAGAAATTACCCAGGCCCCTCGTGTTCTAACTAACTTTGCTAGCATGATCCAGCCAGCAAACTTCAAGAAGGTAAGGTGTTGAAATTCTGAAAATGAATTTTGCATTATTAGGTACTGGTTATGATTAACGGCATTTATAAGCTCCATTACTCATCTAGCCATAAGGTGGTCCAAAGAATACAAAGCTTACTTGTACATTATGTAGTTAACATGTGCTGTGAATTGGTTGTAGTGCAATATTAAAATGGATGTAAAAACGTTACACAAGTTATTTGAAAATGTTCTTAATGGCTGTCATTCTTTTTCTTCAGGATTTAGACTCGTACATCAACAGCCGAAGTCCAGTGACCTTCCTCTCAGAGTTGAGAAGTAACTTGCAGGTTGTTGTTTCATTTTCAATTGTTCAGTACAAGATTATATTTTTTTTTTTAGTGTGGTAAAATTGATGATTTTTGTCTATTATCTCTTCCATTGTGATTGAAATCATGAGGGGGTACAAAAGAAATTAATCATTTTATAGTTGTTACCATAGTAAAAAAATTCAAATCATCTTGTCCAATAAATTGACATTTGTATTATTAATAGCTTGAGTGCTGATATGTTCTAAGATTGATTTAAACATTAACTTAAGGTGTAGAACCAAGATAAAAACATAACTTTAATATTATTAGATGTAGCAATAGAGAACTGGCAGATACAAGATAGAAATGTAATTCAGTAGTCATTAGATGCAGCAACAGAGAAATGGCAAATACAATATAAAAATGTAATTCATCTATAATTTATTAATAAATTGTTTTAGAACAACATTAATTAAAAAAAATCTTAAATAAATATAACCTTTGTTAATTATAGCCAACTTAATGCTGAGCAAATTTTAGCCAGCTATGTTTCGATTATGTCATTAGTTATATTGGTATGTTGTAGGTATCCAATGAACCTGGAATGAGATACAACATCCCATTAATCAATGCTTTAGTCCTGTATGTTGGTACACAAGCCATTAGTCACATTCAGACTAAGGGACAGGCTCCGAGTATGGGAACGATCACACATTCTTCTCACATGGACATATTTCAAAATCTGGCTGTGGATCTGGATACAGAAGGTTTGTAGAAATTGGTCTTTTGACATAAACATATTTTAGTAGTGGAGTAACAGTTGTTATTTAAAAATAGCAATCTTCTTGGTGTAGGAGCTACCACATTTAAGTTTGACTCTCTCATATTTGAAATAGAAGACAAATTAATTGTCCAAAGATCTTTGACAAAACAACAAAAAAAGTCTTACTGGGGATTGTTACACCTACTTTATTAATTTTTGTAACATAGATATTAAAATGGAATGCTAGAATGTTTTTTTTTATTCTTCATTTGAACCGATCAATTTTAATTTCATTGTTTTTCACTTTTGATAGGTCGTTACTTGTTTTTGAATGCAATAACAAACCAGCTTCGCTACCCTAATAGTCATACTCACTACTTCAGTTGTACCCTGTTATACTTGTTTGCTGAAGCGAACACTGAAGCTATTCAGGAGCAAATCACCAGGTGTGTGTGTTAATTCATAAGATGATAATTATGTTGTTGTTTTTGTAAATAGTTAAATCTACTGTAATTACTAGTTTTTAATACAGAGGGTTGAGTATGTTATACTAAAATAATTTTGAATATGCAAATTCATGTGGAAACCATTGCCAAAAGAGCCACATTAGAACTAATTTTTATAGTTTAATATTTTGTAGGTAGTGTGATGCCACCAAAAACTGATTGCTTTTGGGTAGGGTATGTAACAGCCCAAAATTCTTGCAAACTTCAACCAAAAAGGTGTAAAAACACATCATAAATATCCCCTGTAGTTAATGCCATGAGAAAACAAAGGAATACAGATCATCTTGGGGCACTAAAACCATCCAGAGAGTTACAATAAATATACTCGGACTGTTATGAGCAAAATGTCCATCTTGTAAAAGTTGAGAATCCATGACTGCAAAGGTCAGTGACAAAAGTGCATAAAGTAATCAAGAAGTATCTTTGTCCAGAAATGCAACACAAGTTGCTTCCACAATATAGTCATTTACCTGTTGCATGCCTCAAGAACCTGGATAATGAAATGAGTATTCATTCTATTTCATATAACGATATACTGGTGAGGTCAATATCTGCAGTACCTATCAATTTCTGTGCATTAAAACTGACTAAACTAGTGCTAGATTAATTGTGGAATGCTTGCAGGGAGGAGTGGTGTGCTTTTGACATGACAGTCTTTTAATGGGACTTTTTGCAATGGAAACAATTCTGCAGGGCTATTGGAAAGATGCACAGTTCTCAGATGTAGCATGAGTGGACTATAATATATAGCATACTCAACTTCTGTAGTGGTGAAAGTCAGAATTATGTAAACTTAAAATCATATCTAGAGTACTTACTCATTTATTACTGAAAAGAACTTTAAAAAGCATTGCTTCACCTGACAAGATTATGTATTACATCAGTAAAGATTTATTCAAGAACTATCCTATTTTTCAGTTGAATATTTTTATACAGTACTTTTGCAATTTGTAGTTGGATGCAACCTCAGGAAACAGTGAATTATCTACTCTTTTTATATGTTTTTGAAGTGTCTTTATTGAACGTCATGGTCATTTATCTGTTATAACTGTAGAGTTCTACTGGAGAGATTAATTGTGAATAGACCACACCCTTGGGGCCTACTGGTCACCTTCATAGAGCTTATCAAAAACCCAACCTTCAAATTCTGGAATCATGAATTTGTGCGTTGTGCCCCTGAAATTGAGAAGTAAGTATTTGTAACAGAATGAGATGACCAATTGTAATTTCTTTTTGTAGCAGTAAGCAAACATTCATTAGAGTTGACAAATTAAAGTTTTTAGATTAGGAACTGTTGAAAAAACATTGTAGTTTGTTTGTTTTTTTGAGCAAAAGACTTCAGCAGCAGTAGCTTACAATAAAGACTAGTTGAAGTGCTAGTAAAACACTTTTAAATTTGTGAACAAGGAATTCTGTAGTGATAAATATTGTTAATGCTTTTCAAACTGGTATGTCAGATATATATATATCCAAGTTTTAAAGTATAAACTGTGCACAACGCTAAAATATTAATATATGTACAGAAGGAACTACTGCCGATTATATCAGAACATTACAGTTTGTATTTAGGAGTGTTTTTGTGCTTAAGGTGGTTCCATGTTATGAAAATTCAGTGTTAGTTTTTATATTTGTAGGTTATTTGACTCTGTGGCTCGTTCCTGCATGCCTCAAAAACCTTCTTCTGACACAGCCAGCACTTGAAGAGATGTGGCGATGTATAGGATTTTTTTAAAAGGTCTCACATTTCTCTTCTACATTGTACATTCTGCCATGGTTGTCATCGTAGGGACTTTTTTTTGTTTGTTTGTGAATTACTGTACTTTGTTTGAAATAAAAATTCTTTGAAGCATTATTAATAATTGTCTTGAGTAAAGAATCTGCTTCTTCAATGTGGTAAACCTCTATTGTGACTGTCCACATCACCAACCAAGAAACTTAAGTCGTGCTAATTGCAAACATACAGTCATGTTTTACTATGTGAACTTTCCTGAATAGCTGTGGTATTTAAGCATCGGATAAATCCTCAGCTAATCAGTTTGGTTTGATGAAGAAATATACTTAGACTTCTATTAACCCTTTTCATACAGGTGAAAGGCCATGTCATCTCATTTGTTGACTTTCGAATTTATGTCAATAACTTTGGTATTAAAATGTAGATTATAATTCAAATATTAGTATTATACATTACTTAATTTAAAAGTAAATATTAAAAAACACATCTGGACATTGATTTTTGTGTGTCACATGATGTTGAATGCAGCACTGGTTCATAGTTTCGTACAAATAAAGAACTCAAATTACCGATATTGACAAGCTAGAATATAAAATAAGAACCTCCTATCTTTTTCATGTACTGAATAAAACAGTGGCCCTGCTCACCTCTTTACATTATTGGAAACTATCTCTTTTATATATATATATATATATACTTCTGTCTATGACATGTCAAAAGCCCAGAATATCCCCCTAGTGGCTTTCTCAGCCATTTTCAAGTATCATGATGTCATCATGTTTTTTCTATACAAAACTTCAAGGTGGTGAGGTGAGTCTTCACTCTGCTCAAAATTTCGTTTCACATCCTCCATGTGCAAAATTATATGAGGCTTAGCCATACTAATTTATTTACTAAGAAAAATGTTTAGAAATTATTTGTAAATAATAATAATATGACTGTATTTTATAACATAATAGTCCACTATAAAACAGCCAAGACAGGTTAGTTTTATACTATTGGATACAGTAATAAGACTGCACATGTGCCGTGTAATTGTAACTTCTGTATTGTTAGCCAGGCATGGCCAAAAGGTTAGTATAATGTTATGAGATTTAAGCTATTTATGTTTTCCTGTTATAATTCGTCATTCTAGAATGAAAGAGGTATAATTACAAGTTATTTCTTAAGAGATCGGTCAAATTGACGGTACCCGTACAGAGATTCGTTAGTGTAAATAACAGATAAGTTTTTTTCTTAAGAAACATTTGACATGTGAAATTTGAAAATATTTTTAATCTTAAATTGACTTTGCATGTTAGATATGCAACATGAGAAAGAACTGCTTAAGAAACCTTAAGATTTAATTTCAAAAATAATAATTTGCATATAAGAGCCTGGGAATGTTTACTGATAATCTGCCAAATTTCGTTAACATACATCTAATTCAAAAATTATAGCATGAAACTGTTATGAGGTATGAAAAAGTTAACAGTAGATAAACTTGTTATCCAGTGTTCCAGTCTTCTTTAGGATGTTGCACACATAACTTATCTTTCTCAATACACCTTTAACACACAAAAGAAATTTCTTGCAGAGATGCATGTTTTCAAAAACTAAGATATTTTAATAATTGAGAAGAAAAAAAATGTTCCAAATACATTGATATCTCATATATACAACATCAGGCCCAAAATGGCTCCCAAAAGCAATTATAGTTGGTTACACTCCAACAGCTTCCTATTCGTTAATCATACAGTAAGATAATGCAAAAGTCAACATAAACTATTCAGAATCAAGATACTTTACAAATATTTTCCTCACTGCAAAAAAAACAACAAAAAAACGAGCATTTCCCCAAGCTCTTCAGTATTAATAATCTACATAATATGGAGAATAAATCCTGTATTTTAAGCAGGATGTCTGGAACTGTGAAGGATTTATCTTGAGCTTCTTCTGAACTCCACCAAATGAGCATTCCCTTACACTCTACTACTCAATGGCTAAGTACAAAATTTAATTAAAAGGGGCAGCATGCACTTGGATTTCTAAAGTAGTTGTTAAGTCTAAAAGTATGTATCACATACAAACCATGAAAGAAGAAATGCTAATAACACTTCAAGAATTTACTAAAGATCACAGCAGAACTATAGTTGGTAAGCCATTAAACAAAGAAAAAGCAACTGATGCACATGATATTACAATTAATAACATTTTGAAATTTTACCACACAAAGCTATTTTGAAGTACACAAAATGGGTGAGAAGGCCATATTACTTTGACCAACAGGCAATATTAAGTTACATTTGATAAACCTTCACCATTCCAATTTAAGTTCCCTAGCTCAGCTTTGATCGTTTTCTTGCTATTGCATCTTCCACAGCCTTCAATTGTTTTAACAGCTCTTCTCTTCGGGAACTTGTGGATTTCTTGTCATCAAGAAGTGTATTACTTGAACTTGGCTTAGGAGGTGTTGCTTGTTGAGGTGGAGATGCAGGACGTTTTCGACTGCCACTTGGCTGTTGGAAATTTCCAGTCGCTGTTCGAGCTGTGGCTTTTATATTATCTGATAAAAACATTAAGTATCAGTCACTGGTCTCCACTTTTTCTCAAAATGCCAATAAATTTATATTAATTATGCTGTGACAAGTTTATATTATAATTGTACAATGAAATCATATCATTGCAAGTCACATTCCGTGTAAAAAAAATACAATTTCAACTGTATAGTTAAAGCTAGTTTTTTCCCATAATTTTGTAAGAACTAAATACTAATAAAAATATTTTACATTTTTCTCTATTATGACCAATAAAAAATTCTAAAGGAAAAGATAAATAAATATGGCCAAGAGTTTAATACCTCAAACCTCCTGAATTTGAAATATTTTGATGAGTTACAATATAATTATTGTATATATTATACAAATTTAATCTTCCTTTTGTTTCTTAAAATTTGTAATGAAGAAAGGTATCATTAATCTAGGATTTTTTTTAGTAAATTTAGACTATTCTTGCTTCAGGTTTTGTACTCTTTTTGACCCCTTCTTGGTAAGAAAAAAAGGGGGGGACTTAACAGGTTATTTTAATAGTTGAAGATGAGTTGGGACACAGTTTTCCTTTTTTTAAAAGTAATTTTTCACTATTTTTTCTACAATATATATTAATATATATATATTCAATCAAGTTTTGAATGCTGATGGTATTGCAACACCTCAGATTTACACAGGATACTCAGTTTTTTGTGAAGAGCAAACTTGCCATCTTTAGCATTAGGTATATGGAACTTTGACATCAATATATCAATCCAATTTTTTCTATTTGTTCCAACAAACTTGTATTCACTTTTGTACTTACAAATTACTAAGAAATTGGTAGTTTTCATTGATTCAGATTTTACACATACCCTTTTCTCCATTTTTCTGTTTAGTTTCTTCTCGTTTAGATATAGTAGTAGTCTTTTCAGGAGGGCCCTAAAGAGACAAAAAAGATATTTTGAACATAATAAAATAGGTTTTGGCTATTACTCTCTGTTCCTACTACTTATAGCCCCAAAACTTAAAATAAGTCTTATTCTATAACATTACAGAAAAAAAAAGAAATCTTGTCACAAAATTTATAATTTCCATTGAATATCAATTCTAAGTATATATAGTGTCAAAGTATGTACTCATGTAACAGCATAATTCTAATATTGGAATGTTTTATTTATTGTATCAAAATAAATTGGCTACTTGTTGTTACATGTATGAAAAAACTAAATAGTTCCTGTAACAAGATATACAACTTTGATTTCCTAGAAATTGTTCAAAGGTAGTATTTAAGTAAATGTGATAAGTTGTTCCTGAAGTTAATAATACAACTGATATTAATGTGTTATTACCTCATAATTAAATGCAGTTATATTTCAATTGCATTTTAAAGCTTTAGTTAGATAATTTTTCAAACCTCGTGCTGCCATTCCAAAATAATGAACAATTTTGAACTTTCACTGCTCAACAAAATAAACTTTCCTATATATTGTTACATGTTAATATGACACTTCTCACCTTATTAAGTAAAGTTAGTTTTATTTGTTGTTTATGACCTATGTGTTTCAACGGATCTTTTGACACCTTCTGGACTGCCGATGATGTATAATCATAAGCTCTAAACGACACTTCCACCTTTTTATCCTGGGACACTTCTTTTCTCGAAGGTGGTTTTTCCTTACTTTTCACAATTTCTTTAGGTTTCGGAAGTGCCTCTCTTGTAGTTACTTTTGGAGCTGGCTTTTCTGGTTGTGATTTAGGTTCTGCTACAAAAAAAAATAAATGTTTGCTACTGTAAGTCACACTATCTAATATACACACAAATGAACATTTGAAGTCAAAATACTTTGAATGTACAAATAATTTATCAATACCTTGTACTTTATACTTTTTATTTACTTCAGAAACTAAAACCCACAGTTTTTAAATTTTAATGCTGACCAGATTCTCAGAACCCAAAATTGATAAAATAATTCAAATAGCCTTTCGAACTAAAGTTAAAAAACAAATCATGTTGAAGTAAAGCCTTTGTAGTTTTTATGTGGAAAACACACAGAAATGCCATAAAGTGAATCCAAAGGAGCATGATGATGGTACAAGTCTAGGTAATTCTCATTATGGAGTCACATACAACAGCCAAGCTGAAGCATGTTACTACTGCTGAATCACACACACAGATATTTTTCACTTGGGTGTAAATTTTCAATATAATCATTGCCATCTCGTAGTTGAACACTTGGATTTTAACACTCAGTCTGCCAATCAGGAAGTATTTTTTTTTTAAATTTTGAATAGAGATTTGAACTACTTGCAATATCTGAAATAATTCAGGTTTGGTTCGTTTCATAGACTACTATAAACACCTTTTAGTTACTTTTTTCTTTACAATGGACTTTATTCTTCATTTTCTTGTTTTTTGTGTTATACACTGAACACTGTTTCATACTCTGCACACTATTACTTGTTTAGTTCACATGTAGTTTTATTAAATAAAGTTACATCCATGTGAGCAACATGCAACTTTTTTTCAAATAGACCAGGATTTATCGATCTAACACATAATGCCTGCAAGAGTGTAGCTTAAATAATGATAATGATAGAATAAGGAAAATTCAAGTGAAGGGCATGAAAACCACCGCAAATGTTTTGCAGGTCGCGACTAGTTTAAATTATTATATTAAATCCTTTTTGTAAAAGCTATCAAGTTTAATATTATGTATAACTTAATATTTATTGTGTAAAAATTATTTCTCAACATTTTTTCACTTTTCTTAGAAATACATACATGTAAGCTTTTTCATGTATTCTGCATTATTTGTGTTTTTTCATTATTCATACCTCCCTTTACCCCCCATTACACCAGATAATTAAAAGCCAACTACACCATACATTGTCAGCAGCCAGTTGAGGAGAAATGCTAGCTCCTAATGTGAAATTTAACATTGCATTGCACACTTCCATAATGGCTCCAGTGGCCATAACTTTAACTCTTTCAGCATGGGCTTGGTCCCTAGGACCGACCTTGTAACCATTTTGTGTTTGTTACAGTTTTCATGCTATAACTTTTAAATTAGTAAGCCAATGTTATCGAAATTTGGCAGATTACCAGTAAACATTACAATGCTTTCATATGCAAAATATCAATTTTTTTTTTATTAAATCTGAAAGCTTTGTTAAGCAATGCTTTTCTTATGTCTTTTTTTTTCTTTTTGCATGTTGACTATCTATCATACAAAGTAATATTCATTTTA